CAGTACTTTTTATTCTTTATTTTGATACAGGGTTTCACTAAGTTGCTCAGGGCTTCACTAAGTTGTGAAAGCTGGTTTCAAACTTGCAACCCCCCTACCTCAGCCTCTGGAGTTGCTGGGATTACAGGCATGAGCTACCACACCCAGCTGTCTGTGTTTTCATCCTTAAAATAAACCTCCATCAATGAAGGTAATCTGTGTACTTCTTTTCCTTGCAACAGTCATCATCAAACTTTCACCAAGAAACTAAAATCCATCATTTAAAAAAACAAAAACAAAAACAAGATAACTTGATCATAAGAAAGAGCCCTCCTGGGCCCACTGACCAAGACCACAGAGTAATCACTCTTTTCTATATTAGTATGTGGAGGTCAAGCTCCCTGATGCCACAGGGTTATAACTATCAATTTAGCCTGTGAAGAATGGTTCCCAATTCTGATAGGAATTCTCAGATTTCAGCCTGTTTTTCTCCCATCATTATTTTCCAATGTCTTAAAAAGCCACAAGAACCACAAGAACCTGGTCGTACTCTGCTGTGGTCTCTAAGTCACAGCCACTCCAGCCTCATTTTCTTGGATGCACTCCTTCAGAGGGCCTGACCTAGCACTGACTTGGTCTATTCTTAGAGTAGCACCTTTAAATATTAATTTCTTTTACCTTCCCCTGGTTGAAGGACAGAACTCAGAAGTAGAGGTTACATATAACATAAAAGAAAATGCTCTGTGATTTAGTACCCTTCTCTCAAGAGTGTCCAGAGGAATCTGACCTGCAGACCTGTCTTGCAGACATACACATAGTGCTGCTCAGCCCCTTGTGTTTTACATTTCATCCATATTTGCTGGAATAATCATGAACTTGTTTGAAAACACAAACAACCAAGGGATAACAGCAAAGGTGAGAGGGCAAGCACTTTAAAGAAGAAAATCAACAAGGCTGGGGCTGCAGCTTAGTGGCAGAGCACTTGCCTAGCTGGCATGAGGCACTGGGTTCGATCCTCAGCACTATGTAAAAATAAACAAATAAAATAAAGGCATTCTGTCAAAATACAACTACAAAAAAACTTTTTGTAAAAAAAGAAAATCAACATAAAAACCCTCCAGAAACAATTTCAAGGAGTAACTCTGCCATTGTTTAAAGGTTAAATCACCCATCATGAAATGTATGAAAAGGCATGAACTTGAAACTGCAAGAAGTGTACAGTTAACATATTTTTTTTAAAAAAATCAAGCTTCCTGCTATTTAGAGATAGGTCCAACTGTATCCCCCAAAAGGCCAATACTAAATATTTAAATGGTAATGAATTGAAGTCACTGGACAAGGATATGAGATAAGTTTGCAGAGTATCATTCATAGGGAAAATTCAAGAATTGCAGAAATTATAGCTAGCAGAGATCTCAAATTTATCAGGGTAGGCATCCAGCAACATTAGGCACTAAAATGATGTGAAGGCAGTGGAAAACAGTGGAATTTGCAGGCAAACTCCTAACTCTGACACTTACTAGCTTGTGAACTTGAAGAAGCTCTTTAAAGCATTACATCGAGGAGTCTCAGTTTCCTTATCAATGAAATAGAAATAATAATTATACCAATACCTCAAAAAATTGTAGTGGATGAGACACAGCATGCCCATTATAACATGTAATTATTATATTATTAATATAAGCATGTAAAGCTTTATTAAACCTCTTTCATAGATGAGGCAACTGAAGCCAGTTTTCAAAAATGTGCCTAAGGGCGCAGAGAGAGAATTTCTAGGAATAAGGAGCTCAGCTTTCTCCTATGAATCAATACAGACTGGGGGCCTGAAAAAGAAGGATTTTCACTAGCTAAATCTTTATAGTCAAAAGTAAAATCAGGAGCTTCTAACAATCAGGATCCCTTGCTTACCAAATGCTATTTCTTCTACTTCCCATTCTGTCATATAGCTAGAACTTTTTAGTATTAAAAAAAAAAATGTCTTTGGTCAGGCACAGTGGCACATGTCTACAATCCCAGTGGCTTGGGAGGCTGAGGCAGCCTCAGCAACTTAGCAAGGCACTAAGCAACTTAGTGAGACCCTGTCTCAAAATAAAATAGAAAAAGGGCTGGGGATGTGGTTTAGTGCTTAAGCACTGCTGGGTTCAATCCCCGGTACAGAGGGGAAAAAATGTCTTTGTAGCTTTGATGTTGGCATGCCTTTCACTTCTCAAAATAACTTAACCTCAAGCCAATCTGATGTCTTAGAGTTATAGAAGTGTCAGGTATGTGCCACTCATATACATTATGTAATTTTTAGTTTCCTGGGAACCAGAAACAGCTTACTTGGCAACTAGATTTCTCTCAGTAGTGTAAAAAATCTTTAAAAATTTTTCAGTAGTATAATGGCAGATGAAAAGCTATCTATAGTTAACAGCATTCTAAAAAAGCTATAAATCTCACTACTAGTTCTCTAGAGTTCAGTATCAGTTACATAGACCAGTGGGGTTCACTTGCAGTGCTAGTCACAGCTTCCTAAAGAGCAGAATACAGTGTTCTACTCCCTAAAATTAACAACAGAGAGGGGGAGAAACAAACAAACAAGAAAAATAGTCCTCATTATAATAAGATCAAGAAAAAGAATAGATAACATGTTATAGCTTAAAATGTAGATACAGTTAGAGCAAGAAATATTTACTTAACATTTATTACATGTTATACACCACACCAAGTAGTAGGCAAACAGAGATGAAGAAGAAATGATGCCAGCGTTAAGGAACCACAAGAGAAAAGACTTATAAAGGAGGTGGGGTAGGGTGATTAAATGAAGAAAAGGCCAGGAAGAAGCCTTACCCCCAGAAGAGTCATATTTCACTTGGCAAGGAGCCTCCTGAGTGCTGGTACAGATTAAATGGCCTAGAAACTTGACCCCTGGCTTGTCAGTTCTGTAAAAGCAAGCAAGGCTATTCAATCTTAGCCTTTATTCCCTGCCCACCTCACTTGCTTCAGTCCACACCATGAGAACAAGATTCCTTTCTGTACTTCATCCTCCTTTAGAAGGCTGGGAGAAGCAGCTAGCCCTCTGCCCAGAAAGTTTGTTTTCCCAAGAACTTAAAATTCAAATCCATTAGAGCTCCAGTTCATTATTCTGGAGGCTGAGGCAGGAAGATTACCAAGTTTGAGGCAACTCTGGGCAACTTAGCAAGACCTTGTCTCAACATAAAAAAATTAAAAAGGTCTGGAGGCAAGCTCAGTGATACAGTGTCACTGGGTTCAACCCACAGTACCAAAAAACAAAAAGCAAAAGAAGGGCTGGGGTTGTGGCTCAGTGGTAGAGCGCTTGCCTTATGTGTGAGGCACTGGGTTCAATTCTCAGCACTGCATATAAATAAGTAAAATAAAGGTCCATTGACAACTAAAATAAAAAGACCTAGGGAGAGTACAAGTGTTCTTCTAACAGAAACCCAAGTATAGACTTTAATTTTAAATAAATTTAAGAACTTTTAATTTTAAAAAGAATAGCTGTCTAATCCCCAATGAGAACCTGGAGGATAGATGGGGAGGGGCGGGGAATCTATGGTAAAGGAAGATAGACTTCAGTTCATAATTCACCTTAACAGGAAGCCTATAGAGATTATTCTTCCTGTCTTAGAATGTTCCCAAAAAGCCAGGAAAAAAAGGAAAGAGAATCCAAGAGATTATATAAATATATGATGGCATATTGGCCATAAAAATAATGGTTTGTATTTCCTTTTTTTGGTACCAGGGACTGAACCCAAGGGCACTTAACTACTGAGCCACATCCCGGCCCCTTTTTTAAATTTTTTGAGACAGAGCCTCTCTAGGTTGCTGAGCCTGGCCTTGAACTTGTAATTCTCCTGCCTCAGCTTCCTGAGCCACTGGCATTACAGGTGTGAGCCACCAAGCCCAGCTAACACTTTGTATTTCTTTAGCACATCTTTTCATGAAGATTAAGAAAAATTTTTGTTCATTAGTTTGTTTGTTTGGTGTTGGGGATTAAACCCAGGGACTTGCATGTGCTAGGCAAGTGTTCTACTGCTGGGCTACATTTCAAGTCTTGTTGAAAATTTTTATTTTAATAGAAACAGGGTCTCACTAAGTTGCCCAGGCTGGCCTTGAACTTCAGATCTCTTTTCTCTACCTCCCAAGTAGCTGGAATTATAGGTGTACACCATCATGCCTAAGATTAAGGTGTTTTTAAAAAGTGATTATCTCATTCAGCCTAAAAACAGTTCTGTGATATTCTAAACATAGTAACCATTTTGACTTTTCCATAGCTCAGTCATAATTTTTATTTATTTATTTATTTGCAGTACTATTTATTTATTTGCAGTATGAGAGACTGAACCCAGGAATGCTCTACCATTGAGCTACATCCCCAGCCATTTTTATTTTATTTTGAAAGAGGGTCTCACTAAGTTGCTGAGGCTGGCCCCAAACTTGCGATCCTCCTGTCTCAGCCTTCTGAGTCGTTGGTATTAAGGTGTGTAACACTGCACACAGCTCCAGGCATATTTCACCCTGAAGCATGACTCTTCAAACAATATAATCTATGAAAGATGTATCCCTCTAGAAATGCTCACAAATCATTAAGTGATTTGTATGACATCCTACAGAAAGAAAACTGCCCAGGAACACCATTTTAAACAATTTCATGACAAAAGTAAGCCATGAAAAAGAGAGACTAAAGGATCACCAACTAAAGGAAATCAGAGTGAATATTATGAATAAAGGAGAAAGTTAAAAACTATAAGAGGAACCTGAAGAAACAGATTTAATAGATCAAACAATCAGTTGTTAACTACTATAGTCATAACCATCCTCAAGACATATCACTGGACAAAACTAGCTGCATGAAAGGCATGCTCCCAAACATGTCAGGCAGACTTCAATCAACCTTCCAGAACTAAACATTCGCTGCCACTACATAATCATCATTGTTCTGCTCTATTCTTCATGTATCCTGCCTGCTTCCAAGTACCTCTTTTGGGTTCGCCCTTTTAGCAAAGCATTCATGTACTTACTATTCAGTGAAGAACCTGGCAATGCCATACTGGCTAATATCCTCCCTGTTCTCTAGCAGTTGGCACACTGCATCCTCCATGTACGTGAGGACATGTCGCTGGGCTGCAAACAAAAAGCAAGAGAGAAAGAGAAAATGAGAGAGATTTTTTTAAAGATCAGTAACGTTCTTCCAATTCCAGTAGGAGGCCTTACAAGTCAATCAAGGTGAGCTCTATCCTAGGAAGTGGACTGGAATAGGCAGAGCAAACTTGCTGGCCCTAACTGAGCTATGATCTCAATGGACCAAATAGGGGATGAACAAACGTGAAGAACACAAGCTACTGCCATCTGGCTCAAGGTTAGTATCAGCATCAACCTTTCATTCTTCTTTCAGTGAGGAAGACGCTTCTTTCAGTGCTGAGGTGCTTTAGCGCTTAAGAAATACACCTGGAAGTTCTTTTCTTTACTCCTCTTCCACCAAGTTCCCTCTGCCACTTCTGCATGTTCAAAACCTTATTCTAGGAATTCCATTCCTGAAGCCAGGATGATCTGACTGTAAAGAAAACTTAGTTCTTTAATTTTAAAAAAGTTACTGAAAAAGGCTAAAGACCATGGAAATTCTAAAACTGTGTTGTAAGTTATGACACTGGTAAATAACAACAGCATGAAATCTGGGTAGCTCAATTTATTACATATCATATTTTCTACATTTGTTGTGACTGAGAAATGTGTCAGTTAACACTGGGCTTGTAATACAGAATGTGAATATTACAGCTAGACAGACTTGGGTTATTTTTTTATTGTTACATTATATGTAATAGTGGGATTCATTAAGTCATTATCAGATCTGGGTTGAATCATGGCTCTGTCTTTTATAACTTAATCTGGGATAATTACTTTAGCTACACCTGTTTTCTTCTATATCAAGTGTGAAAAGCAATACAATTTCAATCTATTTCTCAAAGTATAATCAATCTCTTGATCTGACTAGGATTCCCAATTAAAATGCAGATTTGTAGACTTAGGGATCATAAACTTCTAACTGGATCCCAGTAATTTTTAATAAATACCTTTGGTGTTTCTTATGTGCCCTGAAGCTTAAGAATCATTGCTTAAGAACATGGGCTTTGGAGTTCAGGGAGACCCAAGTTCCATTTTCAGGCCTACCATTTCCTAGCTGTGTGACACTGAACAAATTATCCCCAAGCCTATTTCCTCCTTGTAAAATGTGAATAATAATCCTACCTCACCTGCCAAATAGTGTTTTAAAAATTAAATAAAATAAGGTATGTAAAACACCACAGTGCCTAATGTGTACTACATACTTGATACATTTTCTTAAAAGTCTATCAGAGGGGCTGGGGTTGTAGCTCAGTGGTAGAGCACTTGCCTAGTGTGTGTGAGGCACTGGGTTCGATCCTCAGTGCCACATAAAAATAAATAAATAGGGCTGGGGATGTGGCTCAAGTGGTAGCGCGCTCGCCTGGCATGCGTGCGGCCTGGGTTCGATCCTCAGCACTACATACAAACAAAGATGTTGTGTCCGCCGAGAACTAAAAAATAAATATTAAAAAATTCTCTCTCTCTCTCTCTCTCTAAAAAAAAAAAAAAGGAAATTTATTTTAAAAATAAATAAATAAATAAATAAAGGTATTGTGTTCATCTACAACTAAAACAAATTATTTTTTTTTAAAAAAGTCCATCAGAAGGGCCAGGATTATACCTTAGTGGTAGAACATTTGTGTAGCATGCATAAAGTCCTGAGTTTATTATTATTACCTAGGAGGAGCAGGGAACAAGCCTATCAGAAAGGGTTATTGGGATTTACTAATAAATAATAAAAGCTGGAGCTTCCTATATAGCAGGGCTCAGCTAATGCTTCTTCTACTTACCCTGAATTTTATCTTTAGTTATGACAATTGTATCCTGACATACTTTACAAAAGAGCTTCCAATTCATGTTCACATCCGTCACACAAAAATTTAGAAAAATACTTTATTCTGGAGCAATAAGACCAATCCAAAAGTAATGAATATCCTGCCAAAAAGCAATTCTAAGAAGTTGCTGCCAAGGTTGATATTTGCTTAAGTATAGTTTCATTCCTCAGGAAAATATGGAAAGATTACCTAAAATTTGCAAAAATGTATGCTTCAAAAAACTATTTCTATGGGAAAAAAAATCTTTACCACATGTATCTAAAATAGAGCAATAATCTCCAGGATATATAAAGAACTCAAAAAATTTAACCCCCACAAAACAATCAATACATGGGCTAAGAAACTGAACAGACACTTCACAGAAGAAGAAATACAATCAATCAACAAACATGAAAAAATATTCACCGTCTCTAGCTATTAGAGAAATGCAAATCAAAACTACTCCAAGATTTCACCTCACTGCAGTCAGAATGGCAATAATCAAGAATACAAGAGGACTGGGGATATAGCTCAGTTGGTAGAGTGCTTGCTTCGCATGCACAAGGCCCTGGATTCAATACCCCAGCACCACAAAAAAAAAAAAAGAAAGAAAGAAAAAGAAAAAAGAAAAAAAGAAACAATAAGTGTTGGCAAGGATATGGGGGAAAAGGTACACTCACACAATGCTGGTGGGACTGCAAATTGGTGAAAACACTATGGAAAGCAGTATGGAGATACTCCAGAAAACTTGGAATGGATCCACCATTTGATCCAGCTATCCTACTCTTCATTTTATACCCAGAAGACTTCAAATCAGCATACACAGTGATGCAGCCACATCAATGTTTATAGCAGCTCAATTTACAATAACTAAACTATGATACCCTTCAACCTAGATACTCTTTTTTTTTTTTTTTTTTTTAGTTCTCGGCAGACACAACATCTTTGTTGGTATGTGGTGCTGAGGATCGAACCCAGGTCGCACGCATGCCAGGCGAGCGCGCTACCGCTTGAGCCACATCCCCAGCCCCAACCTAGATACTCTTCAACTGATGAATGGATAAAGAAAATGTGGTACATATACACAGTGGAATATTGCTTGTCCTTTAAAAAGAATGAAATTATGGCATTTGCAGGTAAATGGATGGAACTAGAGAATACCGTGCTAAGTGAAATAAGCCAATCCCCAAAAAACAAAAGTCGAATGTTTTCTCTGATAAGCAGATACTGATCCATAGTGGGGTGCAAGGATAGGGAAGAATGAAGGAACTTTGTGTTGAGGAGAGTGAGGGGAGGGGTGGGGCTGTGACGATGGGAAGGACAGTAGAATGAGACAGACATTACTACCCTATATACATGTATGATTACATTACTGGAGTGACTCTGTACCATGTACAGCCAGAGGAATGAGAAGTTGTGCTCCATTTGTGAACAATATGTCAAAATGTAGTCTACTGTAAACTAATTTAAAAAAAACCCAAAATACTATTTCTGAACTCCTGATAGTCTAGTGAAGTTCATAAAACAAATCCACCAAGCCTTCTTCATCTGACAGGGTTTCACCATGTTTGCACCAGCCTGAAGTCCAGAAAAGCAACATGGTTACATTTTCCATGAGTTGTCTGTCTTACCTGTATGAAGTACTTCCTCAAACTAACAACTATCAACCACTGCAAACTGCCCTTCCCCCAATAAAAGGATGTCAAAACAAAACAAAACCAGTGCTTCAATGACTCAATTTATCCAACAGGAAAACTGTTTCTTTAAGAAATGGCCCAACGGGATGGGGACAGAGCCCAGTGGAGAGAACTTACCTAGCATTGGGGAGGCCCTGGGTTCGATTCCCAGTACTGCAAAAACATAGCAACAACAACTACAAAAAGGCCAAAACTGGGAGCTGGGGGTGTAGTCGGCGGCAGGGCATGCACTAGCACGAATTAGGCCCTGGTTCCATCCCGAGCACTAAGAAAAGAAAACAGTAAAAAAGAAAAAAGCGCCAAATCTGAAAATGAAGCTGTTTGACAAACGTGCCAATAATTATTTTCAAAATACCAATCATTATAACTAAGTAAATATTAAACTGGGAAGAAAACATGGCCAAACAGTAAAATCAGCTGTATTTTCACCTCTGTGCGCCCCTTCCTTCCTCTACCCACGTACCCTAATCTGACCAAAAAAAAAAAAAAAAAAAAATTCCTTCCTTGGGCAATATGGCCTTTTTATGACTTACCTCTACCTAAGGATAGTACAGGATTTTTTTTTTCTTTTTGATGGTAGAAATGAAAGAGATCCACTTAGAAGCAAATCCTGCTGCTTCTCCTCCCTTGCTCCAGGGACTAAAAGTTAGGTGAAAGCCCTTTATATAGGAAATGTTTTAGAGCAGTTAGAATCAAAGCACTTTTGTCATCCCAGAAATTTTAAAAGGAGGTATTTTTTGGAAAATAGATTACACTAAAAAAAAGAGAGAGAAAAGAAAGAAAAATAAAGGACTATACCCGTTTCACATTTATTTGCCAATCACACACATTTACTTTAATATTACAATAACAGCTGCCTTTTTTGAGCCCCTGTGCAACTTATTGAACAATGGGCCAGAAAATGTGCTGAATGTTTTATACACATTATTTAATTTTCACAACAATCATATGATAGGCATTTTTACTTTACAAATGGGAGAACTGAGACTTAAAAAATTAATTGGCTCAAGATTACAAAGCAAGCAGAGGGGCCAAGATTTAAACTATGGCTTGTCTGATAACAAGAATCTGTGCTCTAATACACCGCCTCATCATTAACACGTTATAATCCCATGAGGGAAGCAAAAATTATCTTCATTTTACAAACAGCACAAAGACAGGTATGTACGGTAACAGTAAGATCATCTGAGATATACGGTCTTTTTGTGTCTGTGTGAATTTATGCATGTGTGTATATGCATGTGCACGTGCATGTCTTTCTGTCCTGTCCCCACCTGCATACCATTTGTGTGAAGTTAGAACTTGTCCCCAAATTTCAAAGTTTTTTTTACCCCACCACAAAGTATTCACCCCACCCATTCCCAGTTCACAAAGTGGAAACAGGAAGTCCTGGTGCTTTTTTAAACTGTGGGTGGTGAAGAGAAGGAGCTATGAGCTGCAAAGGTAGGGAAAGGCTCCTTTCCGTGAGAATTTCACACCAGCCAACAGCCAAGTGTGAAGCTCTCTCTAA